AATGTCATATCTTGTAATTCTTAAAGCGGCAGTGTGCTCTCCTTAAAGGGACACTGTGCTCATTTAAGGGGACACTATGCTCACTTAAAGAGGCACTGTGCTGCCCATATGATAATGTGTTTAGCAAACAAAATAATTACTTCAATCATTACAGCTGAAATTTAAGTTACACCAACCAGTTTCATAAGAAAGTTCAAAGATGCTCCATGAAACAGTTACTTACATTTATATAGCACCTTTCACAGAAAAATGGATGTAATGCCTCAACAAGCAAACAATGTGAGACAAATGAGTGAAACTCTGGCAAGTTCTAGAGAGTGGGAGACAGTGACATAGTGATAAAGTTACAGGACTGGTAATCCAAAGGCCCAAATTAATGTTCTGCCTAAAATCACCCCATGGCAGGTGGTGGAACTTAAGCTCACATCATAACACCTGGAACTGGAAGACAGTTTTGTAGACTATCACTGACCATCATAACAAGCCATCAGGTTCACTAATGCTCATTAACGAAGGAGCTCTGCCACCGTTACTTGTGATTTCAGATTCACAGCAATGTGGTCAACTCTTCACTGCCATTTGAAATAGCCTAGTAAACTAATGAAGGATGGTTCTCATCCTTGCCAGCAATGCCCACAACCTATAGAACATAGCTGAAGGATCCATCATCAATTGTTGGCTGATGGCTGTGGGGCTAGAGATAGAAGACCGCCGAATCATTAGGTGAAAACGTTCCAAGGGGAGGGGGTTGGGCGAGACAATAGAAGGTTGGAATCTATGGATGATGGGGATCTAACTGATATCGGACAGGACAGCACTGAGGGACTATGGGCATTGGAGTCCTGGCTAAAGTGGGACTTTCAGAAAGGAGGAAACAGCCAAAGAATTTTGGAAAATTAGCAGAAAAGCTGTTGGGTTTCAGCAGAGGAAGGGAACATAATACTGGGGCTATGAACATTACAATAGATGTAAGTGGTCTCAGAGAAGTCTGGATGATAGCAAAGATAAAAGGTAAGATAATGTCATCACAGTCCTTCCAGACCATTAGGCTGCTGTCTCATTAGGGACAGACAATTGTTGCTGATTTAATCTAAGGGTCACCATGCCTCAGGCAAGAGAAGAGGTCAAAAAGAGAGTTCTTCATGGATAGCAAAGATATGGGATTTCAGAAAAATGTAGATAGATCAGAGAAGCTGGCATTGTGCTCCTTGCAATGGAGAAGGGATAGAGATATTCAAAATTATGAGGTGCTTTGATTTTTTCAACTAGTTTACTTTGTCTCCACTGGCAAGTGGATCAGACTGAGGCCAGGACTGAGTGTCACAGCCAGGGTTTACACAGTGAGTTGTGATATTTTGGAATGTGCAGTTTGAAAGGATGGTGAAAGCAGTTTCATTAGCACACAGAAAGGAATTTGGATAAGGGAGAAAATTGAAGGGCTATGGGGAAAATGCACAGGGGGGATTTTTTGGATTAATTGGCTAACTCTTTCACAAAGAGCCAGCACATATTGGCACGATAGACCGAATGGCTTCCTGCTGCCCCATTTCATTCTATGATGCTTATCTCTGGGTTGGTTAAGACTGACAGGTCAAATGCTAAAAAGTAGCTAAGTCGAAAAGTAGAAGGTGAGAACGGAGTGGAAATTGGAAGTGCAATTGATAAACTTTTCCAATTCCAGACAAGAGAGGGAAGCAGCACCGATGATATCAATGAAGAACCAGAGAAAGAGTTGTGGGTGGAATGTTCCATGTACCCCACAAAGAGACAGGCATAACTGGTGCTCATGCAGGTGCCCACAGCCACCCCTTTGATCCGAAGGAAGTGAGAGGAGTTAGAAGAGAAGTTTCTCAGAGTGAGTTTTGCTTCCAATTTCCATCCCGCTCTCACCTTCACCTGGTCCATCTCTGACTCCTCCCTTCCCTTCCTCAACATCTCTTTCATTTCTGGGGTTGGGTTGGCCACCAATATCCATTACAAATCAAGCAATTCCAACAGTTCCCTGGACTACACACCCTCACACCCTGCTTCCCGTAAAAACTCTGTTCTTCCAATTCCTCCATCTCTGTTGCATCTGCTGTGATGATGCCAACTTCGACAAGGAGGCCTCCAAAATGTCCACCTTCTTCCTCAGCTGAGGATTCCCCAGCTCCACAGCTGACTCCACACTCAGCCCAGTCTGACCCATTCCTGCACTTCCACCATCACCCCCACTCTTTCCTCCCACAGCAGCAATAGCGTCCCCTTGATCCTTACCTACCACCCACCAGCATCCACATCCAGAGGATGATTAGCCTCCATTTCCGCCACCTCCAGCGGGATGCCATCACAAGACACATATTCCCCTCTCCTCCCTTGTCCACCTTCCACAAATACCATTCCCTCCAGGACACTCTTGTCTACCCTTTTCCTTCACTCCAAACAACTGCCCCACAGCCTACAGTACCTTCCTATGAAACCACAGAAGGTGTAACACCTACCCGTTTACTTTCTCCCTCCTCAGTATCGAAGGGCCTAAACACAGCTTCCAGGTGAAGCAGCACTTTACCTGTACTTCACTCAATCTAGTCTACTGCATTCACTGCTCACAATGTGGTCTCCTCTACATTGGGGAAATGAAGCGTAGACTGGGTGCCAACATACAGAACACCTGTCTGTAGAAAAGACCCTGACACTAAAACACACTACCATGTTCCTTGGCCAACATCTCTGTCTCAGGCTTGCTGCAGTGTTCAAGCAAAGTCAGCGCAAGCTGGAAAAACAGCACCTCATTTTCCACTTGGGAACTCAAATAGCCTTCTGGGCTCAGTGTTGAGTTCAACAATTTTAGGGCTTGAAGCACCTTCTCGCATGTCCTTACCTTAACCTCCACACACCAGGCCTTGTTATCACATGGTCTGCTATTACAAACTACCCATTGTTAGCCACTCACTGTCCTCATTAGGAGCCATTCATTCTCCTAGGCTGGCTATTATCCACTCCTTTGTCCAACTGTTCTTCTCAATCTTTGGGCTCTATCTCCATCTAACTTTTACTCCTTACCCCCTCCACCTACCCTATCTTCTGCATAAAAAACAACTTTTTTATAGCTACCATCAGTTCTGGAGAAGAGTCACTGGACCCAAAACGTTAACTCTGATTTCTCTCCACAGATGCTGTGATAGCTGCTATTTCTGTTTTTGTTCCATTTAAACCCACACTAAGTCAATTTAGCCACATTATTGGGACCATAGAACAAATCGTTGACTTCAACTCCACTTTCTTTTGTACAATACAGACACAGAAGCTAGAAGTTACCTCTGACCCTGAACGTGCAGTGAAAGATCGAGGCTGCACGGCAGAGGAACAGAAACTGTTGATTTGGAGTATCATTGAAAAAGCTCCAGATTCACCACAGGAGAAATTTGCCCTGTGGTGGGCTCCCACTGCACATTCCCCCCCAGCCCCACCACTGTTCTCTGTTTTCAAAAAATTGCTCTATTCATTCCACAAAAGCCTGCTGAGTCCTGCTGCATAATGCATTGCACCCAGGGGTCAGCCCCAAAGTTAAACGAGTGGCCTCATTGTCCTTTCACTCCAAACTCACTACTTTCTGCCTTTTGTTACTGACAACACTCAGTGCAAAAGTTACAGCTAGTTTTTCTTGCCCACAACTGCCCTCTCTCCTGCCACATACAACATTAGTGACACTATACCCAAGCCAAACCAGTTCAGGACACCAGATGAAGTAGTGACTTGATGACAGCATCTGTAAATTAACACGTTCCAAGTTGAAGATTGTAGCATAAAAGACAAAGGTAAGATCACAATGTTGTAGCTCAGGAAATGAATTAACTTGCACATAAAGGTGTGCAGAATCATGATTTCAACTCAGTGAGGGATGGTGAAGGACAATTGTGTTGGGTGTGGTCACAGTGTGAGGAATCCGAAATGTTAATGAATGCATATTATTCATGCAGGAAAGTAAAGCCAATGTCACTGTGATAATGGAAGCTTAATTTGCAATCCCAAAATACAGAGAACAGCACTTGGTCCCTTTCCTATAGCGTGCAATATTGGACACACATGCTATATTGTGTAAGGTAATAACTTGGTCCCTTTCCTATAGTGTGCAATATAGGACACACTTTCTGTATTGTATAAGGTAATGTAAACTGTAATCCTGAAGTGTTTGTGGTGAGGCTATTGTAAATGGGAGCTCAAGCATGTTTCTAATGAATGTTTACAAATTTTATCCTTATCCAGGCTGGGGACGGGTCAAGAATAACATTTGCAAACCCTCATAAGAAACATGCCTGAGCTCCCGTTTACAATATCCACACCAGAAACACACCTTGATAATAGTTTACAATATCTGCACCAGAAACACACCAGGATTACTGTCTACAATATCCACACCAGAAACACACCAGGATTACAATCTATAATACCCACACCAGAAGCACATCTTGATCACAGCCTACAATATCCACACCAGAAACACACTAGGATCACAGCCTGCAATACCCACACCAGAAACATACCAGGATCACAGCCTACAATATCCACACCAGACACACACTACGATTACAGCTTACAATATCCTCTTCATGATTACAGTTTACCGTATCCACACTAGAAAGTATCAGAATTACATACAATTCCCTCTAACAGTTACACCAGAACCTCACTTTCAGTTTATATTTTGATATTTTTATACATTTGTCATGTCCGATATTTTCCCCCATCTGACGTTTGTAACAGTTTAAATCGGAACTTTACTCTTTCCAGTGAGCTGTACCCCTTTCCATCACTTGTCTCTCTGCCTGGGTCTCAGGATAAAAGTTTACCCTGACTCCTCCTGAGGTAGGCTTCCAACCGCGTGTAACATAACACAGTGTGAAGCTGGAGGAATACAGTCAGAGACAGTAAGAACTGCCGATGCTGGAGTCTGAGAGCCGTGTGTATTGACCCTTCGCCCCTGTCATCGCTGACGGATCTTTGATCGATATATTCCATACCTCAGAAGGCAGGTCCCAGTGACTCAGGGACCTGCTCCACCAGAGCCCTGGAAAAGCTGGGAATCTCTGACCCTCCTTTCCCCAGGCTTGGATATACTGAGAGAGATCGGTCGGTTCTAGTTCCCGGAGCTGCTTCTCGTATCGAAAGGACAGCCAGTGTTCAATTTACTTTGAATCATGTCCTTTCAGTCCCTTTCTAAACTTGCTGTCGGTCTGACTGACGGAGGAAAAGTGGTAGCTAAGGCGTAGGGCTCCCAGCGAGGGAGGGAAGTACAGGGAACGCCCAGATGTGGGTGCTTGCTGATCCCACTGGAAGAGGATGAGACTTTATTGCACTGACTTAACTCATCTTCATTATTAGCAAATGTTATTTCCAAACTCCCTCACATTTTTAATTCAGGCTCAGCTGGAGCACTCGGTCCAACTCTGAGGAAAGTACTTAAGGGAGGCATTAGAAACGATTCACCAGAATGGTTCCCAGGGATATGGAATTTCAGCTATGAAGAGAGACTAGAGAAGTTGGGTCTGTTTTCCTTGGAAGAGAGAGAAGATCTGATAGAGCCGTTCAAAGCCATGAAGAATAACCTTGACAGAGTAAATGGGGAGAAACTGTTTTCTCGTCAGGAAAGGACGGACTATGAGAGGGCACGGATTCCAAGTAAATGACAAAACAAAAGCAATTTCAGGAAAAGCTTTATCACATAGTGGGTGGTTAGGGATATAAAGCCTGCCTGCAAGGATGCAGGTTCAGTAGAGGCTTTCAAAATGGGATTTTATTCGAAAAGGAGAAATGTGCAGGATTACGGGGAGAAGGCAGGATGGTGGCTCTGAGTGAAATACCCATTTGGAGCTGAACGGCCAGCTCCCGCGATTCTGAGTTTAATCCGTTCATTGCAATGACCCATTGGCAGACAACAACCATCATCAGGTATTAGTGACAGATTTGGACGAAGAAACGACAGCAGCAGGTAGAACTTACGTTCAATTAATACATCTGAAATTGAAAGCCAATATCTGCAATGACAATGACCATTACAGGGTAATTGTTATTAAAAATGCATATAGTTCACTAATGTCCTTTAAGGAAGGAAATTTGCCATCCTTGTTTGAGCTGGTCTACATGGAACTACAGCATTGGCCAAACAAGACAAAGTTCATGGACAGTCAAGAATGGGCAATAAATGCTGGCCTTGCTAGTGACATCCACTTCCCATCAGAGAATAAAGAAGAAAAGGCTCCAGGGGAGCATAAGCACCAGAAACATCTGTTTGGGCCAAGTGGCCTGTTTCCGTGCTTTACACCCTATGTAATGATTTATCTAGTCGTCCTGACCAGGATGTCATCTGAGAGTCAGCAGAATCGCCACCATCTTTATAGAAGCTGCTGGTTGGGTAATTCAGGCTGATTGAAGGTGAGAGATAGTAGGAACTGCAGATGCTGGAGAATCCGAGACAACAAGGTGCAGGGCTGGATGAACACAGCAGGCCAAGCAGCATCATAGGAGCAGAGAGGCTGACGTTTCGGGCCTAGACCCTTCATCTGATGAAGGGTC